CAGGGCAAGTGGCAGCCTCAGGCAAGAATTTGGGCATAGACCTAGGTGTCGGCAATCGGCGCTGCAGGCGATTTAGCCGCCCAATGCTAAGCAGCGGCTCGGCAACCTTCCTACCCGCAAACGCAGGTTGGCGGCGCTCCGCAGAGCAGGGACCGACATGCGCAAACTTTTTGTCAGCGGGCTAGCCTCCTATGGAACGCACGGGCCGTACGGGGCGGATGTCACAGGTGCGGACCCAAAGGAACTGCATACATTGCAGAGTTTCTTTTTTTTTTGTCCACTGGTGGGATCGCGAGGGGACTCGCGCTCTCGCTCGCTCTCTCGAGCACTGCACGAAGACCCCGCCTGGCGGCAGGGGCTGGCGCCGGCACTCCTTTGGTCCAACTTGCATGGAGGAGGAGGAGGGAGGGAGGGAGGGAGGGAGGGAAGGAGGGAGTGAGGGAGGGAGGGAGGGAGGGAGGGAGGAGGAGGAGGAGGAGGAGGAGGGACCACCTTTGCCCGGCTGCTGGAGCTCGCGGCCCCAGTCTTGGCCTTGGCGAATCCGCCCAAGGATTGGGGGGCAGTGAGGGGGGCCGGCGGCGGCGGCGATCCTGTCACCGAGGCGCATTCGTTGGGAGCTTCATAATTGCACTGGGTTTTGAAGATGCTGAATTGGGCTGGCCGCTCACTGCTTTCTCACTGAAGTTCCTGGAGACTAAGATGAACACTGCCTGGCAAAGCGCACGTTTGGCAGCAGTGCCCAAGAAAATGGGGCTGGAAGCGGAGGCTCGCCTCGACATGTCGGTAGCCCACCGGATCATTAGAAGTCGCACTGACAAGAAAAAAGAGGACATACTTTTGTCCTTCCTCTGCCAAGCTATATCTGGACAGACAAGAGGCTCCAGCAGGCAGGGTACGAAGCCTCTACCAGATGCCCGTGCGGCTTTGAGTCAGATGATATTTCGCATAGGCCGCATCGCTGCCCAATCACAGCCCCCCTTCGGGAGAAAATGTTGCAGCCAATAGACGTCATCATCATCATCATCATCATCATCATCATCATCATCATCATCATCATCATCATCATCATCATCATCATCATCAATGACACTCACCGCAATTTCCAAATTGCCTGCGGATTGCCAGACTTGCCGGGCTCCTCGGTGCAACCTCCTATGGGGTACGGGCACGGTGCCCTATCAATTTCGTTGCGCGGGCCCAGCGGTAAGCGTCCGAGACGCATTCAGGGGAGAGGTCTTCACCGACGGCTCGTGACTCAGGGACGGGCCCGCCGAGCTCCACGTGGCAAGACGGGCGGTAATTAAGCTCACTGCCGGGGGGACCTATACGCGGCAATGTGGGGGTCGGTTGGAAACCAGTACCCCCCAGACATCGCCGGCAGCGGAACACGTGGCCGTCCCAGCTTGCATGGAACACTGTCCAGAGGCAAACCCCATCCAATCTGATTGTTTGGGGGTAGTTCAGCTAGCTTCGGCGCCTTGGGCGCAAGTGGTTTGCGGGCTTGCGGATCGAGATCAGATCTTGCCCAGGCTGGGATGGGAATTTAACATCCAAAAGGTAGCAGCGCACTCAGATGTAGACACGCCGAATCCGCAGACGCGGGAGTGGCATTTGGCCACGAGCAACGATTTCGCAGATGAGTACACCCTGCGAAATGCTTAAGAAATCATGGGTTAAGAAATTCATAGTCTCAGAACTTGAATAAAAACCAAACATTTCCATTAAAATCTTAAGATTTGCATTGAGACGTTAAGAATAATCGAGACTCTGGCCGAAAATTTAAGTTTTCTTAAGCATCGCCTAAGGTGTATGCGAAATCGGCCGCATCCCTGCTAGCACAGCCCTCGGTGGCGGAGCGACCGAGACGCAGTGAGAACGCAGCAACTTTGAAGCGATATCTCTGCTGCGCGGCGAACGGGTGACTCATGCACCCTAGGCTTATGTCGGGCGTGTTCCCCTACAGGGGGATCTTCGACGACAAATCGAAAATACCACAAACATACACCGAAAAGGTAAAACAAACTAAAAACATAGTCCCCAGGCTATGTTTGGACAGTGTTTTGATTCTGTTTTGGAGTACTTTTGATTTTTCGTCGAAAATCCCCCCGTAGAGGGGACAGGCCCGACTGAACCCTAGGCAGGCGCCGTCGGAAAAACGACGGAAAGCATTCCACAAGGAAGGGATGAGCCCAAACTTCCAGTCGGGCGCCTCGGCGGCCATAGGGGCACTGCACCAGCGGCGGCCCAGCCGGCCCAAACGACCACGGCGGGGAGGCACGCGAGTCGTGCGCAGCAGTCCCCACGCCTAAGGTGCCTCCGCCTCCCCCTCCAGTAGCAGCTCGGCCAGCGAACGCGGCCGAGATCCAGGACTCGCGAAGGCGAGGGCCTCCATTCCCGCCGCTACCTCCGACCAGTGGGCACGATTTCGAATGGGCGCGCAGGAAGTGGGCGTGCCAGAAACGCCTCGGACGCACGCTACGCGATGCACCCTTTCTGTCTTGTCAGTGCCCGGGTCACAATCAAGTGCTCAGCGCAATTGCTGCAGATCTGAGAGGGCACGCGATGATCGTGGCTGCCACGCCTGACGGCATTCTTTTTGTATGCATGAAGCGTGGCTGCATATCGGAAGGAGTGCGGATAAACAGTCTCGGTGCGGACTGCAATAACAGCCCCGCCAGTGACCACACACGGTCTAGTTCGAACCGCATCCGCAGTTGGCAACAACCCGTCCCACAAGCGTGGAAGCGCGATCGTCCTAGACGAACCAGTGCCCTTGAAAGGGTTTTTGTTGTAGGGCGAAGCGGGGCTAGCAACCGCATTGACCGGCGACATCAATGCACAGGGTGACAAACTCGGATTCACAAAGGTGAAGCAAAGTTGGACTCCCCGCGTCCCCCCCCTCGCATCTCAGCCGCGCGCGCGCCGCTCGCCTGCTGCCGTCTTGGGCTCAAGGGTGGGAGCGGCCTCGGAACCTTGGTGCTTGAGCCAATGAAAAAGGAAGGAAGGGAGCGGGAGCTACCAAAGATATCATCGTGCCCATCACCGTCTCCGGTCAACGCCCTCAAGGCAGGCATCGGAGAGGGGGGGGGGGGCACACCGCGCATGCCCCACAGTCGTGGGGCGGCCCTCCGCCGAGACGAGGCTCGGCAGTGGGCAAGCATCGTGCTTGGGCTGGCCTTTTGCTCTTTCATGTTGCATCTCAGGCGCAATGCACTCTTTCTTTCTTTCTTTCTTTCGAGAGGGACAAAGCTCCACGAAGCTACCCTGGGACCCAAGTGCACAAGAAGAGGCATGCAACTAATTTGCGCGATACTCACTCACTCTCTTGAACCACCGGACTGCCTCGAGTGCCGCAATGCACTCTTCCTGCTGAAGATAACCGTGCTTCACAGTCGTGGGGCGGGCTCTGACCAGAGGGCAAATACGTGAATGTGTTGTGGGGGCAAGTGGAGATCTGTGACATGATTCGAAGAGTTGAACTCAGTACACAGCTGCAGGGAGGATGACTCCGTCTCTCCCCGCTGTCGCTGTTTCGGCGACGAAAATCTATACCAATCGTTGCAAAACTTCTTTTGAGGCCGTCTCGGCTTCCTCGTGGGAGTTCGTTGGCTCGACGATGGTCGAAGACACCCCCAAGAGAAAATCGGTACCAATCGTTGCAAGCTTGGGTGGGTATTGGCGCGAGTGTCGCCTAGCATATGCGTGGTAGTAGACCTGGGTCGATATGCGACCTATGGGCCCTACGGGATCTACACAGACGTGTGAGTCCCACGAGCCCTAAATTAGCCCTACGGTGCACTATGAGCACTGCGGGGCCCTACTCCGGCCCCTATGGGACGTGAGGTAGGTAATTGTAGGTAACTGTGTTTCGGTCGTGGGGCAGCCCTCCTCCGGAAAGAGGCTGGGCAGTTATCGTTCTCATGTTTGATTTCCTCTAAGGGGGCTCTGTACCCCAGGGGGCCAAATAAAGGGGTGCTGTAACCTCAGAAGGCATACGGGAGGGGGTGCTGTACCCTCAGAGGGCCACTAGGGAAGGGGCTCCCCAACCCCCAGTTGGGACATGCGGGGGGAGATGCTGGGTGCTAAGCTCCTTCGTAAGGTCCTGCGAGGTTGCGGGCCAGCCCCCAGCCGAATAACCAGGCATCGGCGGATAATACCGAGTAGGGCAAAAGTGCACCGTCCTAAGAAGAAGCAGGGGGGGCACTGGGGCGGGCTTCTGCCTAGGGGTATATTCGTGATTGTTGTTGTGGGGCAAGTCCGAGTTACTCACTGTAACAGGTGGTGGGAAGTGAAGAGCGGGGTAGTACAGCTGATAGCAGCTGATTGGGAAATCTATGGGTCCGTGCGACTCCTGACAGGTCTTGCGTTATTTGGTCTCCTCCTCATACTGCTCATCTTCCTCCTCTTATTCCTCCTCCTCCTCCTTCTTCTGGCCCCGTCCCCCAGCCACGTCGTGGAGGAGTAATCAGGTAGGTTTATGCTTTGACATGTTGATAATTCGCAGACCATAGTAGGCCGTAACAGGCCTGAGGTGTGTGCAGTAGCACGCGGGCCATAGGTGGCCGTATCAGGCATGGGTGTGGGGGGCTTAGCAGCCACCGTACAAAGGGCCCGCGTGTAGGCCATGGGTGGCCATAGGCCGCGCATTGGAGGGTATTGGCGCGAGTGTTGCAAAGCATATGCGTGGTAGTAGGCGCATCTTAATAGATGTTGCATCCATGGGAGTACGGGTATTGGCACGGGGCAACTAATTGTGCTTCACAGTCCCACTTGAATTCGCATTGCATGTCAAACAGTTTGCACCACGCAGGGTATCATGATTTATGTTGCAGATAGTTCAGTGCCTTCTGATGTTTGAGTTGGAATTGGAATTGAACATAGCATGCCACCATTGTTAGGGCACGAAGCGGTAAAACATTACCCGTGCCTTGAACGACAGGCGTGACAATCCTCCCCTTCCTCCTCTTCTCCTCCTCCTCCTCCTCCTCCTCCTGGCTTTCCTGGACCACCGCAGGCGGCGGAAGCAGCCGCCGCCGAGGGCGAGGCTGCTCCCGAGCCACGCCGTCTCCCAGGCGGCCACGAGCAGCGCGATGCCGGCGAGCTCCAGGGCGAAGAGCGCGTAGGGGTAGCCGCGCTGCGGGTCGCAGTACCAGGGCGGCGCCGCGGGCCGCTCGGGCGGCGCGGCGCCCCGGACGGCCGCCTCGGCGGCCTGCCTCACCGCCCCGTCCGCGTGGCCCAGGAGCGCGCCGAGGGCGTCCCGCAGCTCGGGCTCCGAGAGGCCCTCGGTGGAAATCACGGCGGCGGGCCCCGGCTCGTCCTGGGCAGGACGCAGGTGCACACTCCAGCATGACTACCTACCAGACCACCCCAACCCAACCCGAAGGCCCAAATTTCGGGTTGGGGGGGGTAAGGGTTCCACATGTGTGTTTTCGATGTTCCCGGACCCCCCCCCCACTGGAAATGGACGCCAAATTGAGGCCTTCGGGTTGGGTTGGGGTGGTTTGGTGGGTGGTGAACACTCCAGCAGGGCCCCTCCGTGCACATAAAGCCGTCCCCAGCCCAGGGCAGGGGACGCCGATCGAGATCCACCCGGGCCTCCCCCAGAGTGGGCCCGAGAGCTGTGGCGCACTGCCTCACTGCGGCGAGGAGGGGGGGGGCAAAACGGTACTGATACCACCACTCCGCGGATCTCTCCCAGGGGTGCGTCCTGTGAACCGAGCTTCGAGGCGAACCCAGCCGTGGCGGCGGAGCCCCCCCAGGAGGCCCAGGGTGGCGACGCTGGGAACCCTCCCTCCTCCGAACAACGCGGCCAGCATTGGGCAAGCAAGCTCCTCCTCCTCCTCCTCCTCTCTTCCTCCTCCTCCTCCTCCCTCTCCCTCTCCTCCTCCCTCCTCCTCCTCCTCCTCTCCTCCTCCTCCACCTCCTCCTCCTTCTCCTCCTCCACCTCCTCCTCCTCTACCTCCTCCTCCTTCTCCTCCTCCTCCTCCTCCTCCTCCTCCTCCTCCTCCTCCTCCTCCAGAGGGAAGCGGATCCTGCACCCTGGGGCCTCACCCCAGGAGGAGCGCATCGTCCCGGACCGCTCTCTGACGGTCCGGGGGCCCGTGGAGGGCCCCGAGGGCCCGACAGCGGCGAGGGGCCTCGGGACTCGTCTCCCCCGAGTCCCCCCGCTTCCCCCGCGGCGGCGCGGCACTCCTGCGCCAGGCCCCGCAGCGGCCGGCCGCCCAGCAGCGCTGCCGCGAGGCACCACGGCGCCAGGGGCGGCGGGCGCATGGCGCCGCGCTCGGCGGCGGCTGGAAGGGCCGCTGGGCGGCTGCGCCAGCACCGCCGTCGCTGTCACCGTCGTCGTCGGCGGCGTCGTCCTCGTCATTGTCGTCGTCGTCGCCGTCGAACTGCGTCGCTGGGGTCGTGGTCATCGTCATTGTGGTCGTCGCCGTCGCCGTCGTCATCGGCGTCATCGTCGTCGTCGACCTCGTCTCCGCCGCCGGCGTCTCCGCCGTGGCCGTCGCCGTCGTTGTCGCCGTCGTCGTCGCCGTCGTTGTCGCCGTCGTCGTCGTCGTCGTCGTCATCGTCGTCGTCGTCGTGGTCACCGTCATCGTCGTCGTCGTTGGTGCCGTCGTCGGGGAGGGGATGAGGGCGGGGGGCAGGAGGTGGAGGAAGAGGGAGAACGAGCGGGGACTAGGGGCGAGGACGGGTAGCGGAGATGCGAGGGGGTAAAATGCTGGAACCGCCCCTTTTAAATGGACGAGCGTCCCATGTGCTTCACATTGAGGTCACATACCTCAAGGTTTAAAATTGTCCAAGCAATTGTCAATCGATGGACCCGTAGTTACAACAATGTGCCCTTCTTCTGCGTAGTTAGCTGTTGCGCAGTCCCAATTCTGCGACCATAACGCTTCAAGTTTAAAGCGGTAAGAACATTCACAAGTGAGCCACCCTTAATTTGTGAAGGTGTCGCACATGTTCGTACTTCTGTTCGTACCATGCCGAAGGGATCTCAAGCGAGGGCCCCAAGCTGAAACGGTGTCGCACTCCCTCTGTGGTGCTGTCGGGAACGTGTAAGACATATCTACTGGGCGCAGGTGGTCTAGAGCGTTTCCTTTTGCAACCTCCTTCCTTTCCCTGCTCGGGAGGCTTACCTCCCCCCTCTCCCTGGGTCTGGACGGGCCTCCCCGGGAGGGCTTCGAGCGTCCAAGATGGACCAGCATAGCTTCAATAATGCATTAGCTAGCCCAAGATGGCCTCCAAGATCGCCCAGGATAGCCCAAGACGGCTCAATAGAGCCTCCAACACGCATCCAAGAGGCCCCAAGACGGCCCCAAGACGGTTTCAAGCGCCCTCCGAGCTCTCCAGGGAACCCCCCCCCCGAGAGGCCCAGACGCGTCCAAAACGCAGAGGGGGATCAGCCTGCTCTGCCTTTTTCGCTGCTTCGCTTCCGATGGGCCCTTGAGGCGCCAGGATGGCCCCAAGATGGCCCAACACAGCCCCAAGATGGCCCAAAACGCAAGGGGGATCAACCTGCTCTGCCTTTCTCGCTTGTTCGCTCCCGATGGGCCCTTGAGGCGCCAGGACGGCCCCAAGGTGGCCCAACATAGCCCCAGCAAAAGACCCAAGAGGACCCCAGGACGGGCCCCACGAGCGAGCGCCCCCAGAGCGGCCCAAGAGGGCCCCCATACGCCCCCCTTGGGCCTCCGACGGGGGGACCAGAAGTTACGACCCCCCTCTTTTCGAGCGGCCCCTCTTGGGCCTCCGACGGGGGGACCAGAAGTTACGACCCCCCTCTTTTCGCGCGAAGGGGTCCAAGACGGGCCCAAGAGGTCTCCCAGACCTCCCTTTACAAGACCCCCAAGAGGGCCCCAAGACCCCCCCAAAAGTGGAGGCTTAGAGATGGGCACCAACACCAATGCCGAGCGTTGCCTCTACCAGGGGAGGGTGATCTAGATTTTGGTGTTGGTGGCAATATTTCGGCCACCTTGGAAACCCGAATATTACCACCATCGCCGAGATCGGCATCACCTTTCCTCGGTGGAGGCACACCACCGATCTTGGTGCTGGTGTCAACTTCTAGGCCTGCGACGAAAGAGAGCCAAGAGAGCCTCAAGAGAGCCCCAAGAGACCCCCAAGAGAGCCCAAGAGGGCCCAAGAATAGAACATCCGACTCTACGACGAGGTCCGCTGCGCCAGAGACGCTTACCAAAGGGAGTTCCCCGGCGCATCTAGCACCGGCTTCCATTTTAAATTTCGCTGCAGGAAGCTCTTTGTGATCCTTGCTTTCCAGAAGACGGCCGCGCAACTGCATGCTTCCAGCCGTCCCTGATTTACCAACTCCCCTGCTGATCGTTTTTCGATGGGTTGGTGGGGATAGTTTGGTTCGCGAGCGCAAGCGGAAGAGCCGCGCGCCGTCAAAAAGCCACAGCTAACAAGCAGGAGCCTAAATTGCACACGGGAGAAAGAAACGAGACAAGAAGAGAGCAGCGGGAGGAGAGCATAGCCGGGGCGGGCCGCGCGGCGCTCACGGAGAGGGTGCCAGCGGCAGCTAGCACCCGCCGCGGGGTGCACGCCAAAGTGGCGGGTAATTAGCTGGCACAATGGTGTCCCGTGGTGCCTGCGGCGTGGGGCAACCCTGCGGGAGATAGCGGAAGCCGCAAGCGCCTGCGCCTGCACGACGGGCAGCACCCGGGGGTCTGAGCGCGGCAAGGGCTACGCATCCCTGCAAGGTGAGCAAGCCTTCTGCGCGTCGGGAGCCACGGTGGGTGGCGGCGGAACGAACGAGTGGCGACGACCGAACAGCAATTCGCGCCGTGGGACAGGCATGTCTTAAGCAGACTGAAGGCAGTCAGCCGCGCGTCGACACCAGTGAAATTACCAGCATGCAGGCGCCCGACGGACGGGAGTGCGGATCGCCCAAACCGGCAGGACGACAGATGTGTCGGAACCCGCCCAGGGAGCAGGGGGGAGGAGTGCAGCGGGGCGATGCCAAGGGTGGCAAAGCGGGCTAGCCGAAGAGAGAGGGCCCAGGGGCGGTCCTTTGTGCCGAGCAGCGGCGCGCCTGGACCAGGGGGCAGCTCGCCGTGGCGGCAAACCGCGGCAGCGGGAGGGGAAAGGGCCACCCTTCTGTGCCGACGCGGCGGCGGTCCAGGTGGGAAAAGCAGGAGCAAGGAAGCAGTGCGGCAGGGAGCGCGCCACCGAGGCCACGGCATCGAGGAAGAACGCCCTGCAGTAGTAGGCGCGAGCGCCACGCTGCAGTAGTAGCAGGGGGGCGCGGTTTGCGCTGGGAGGGGTGCCCTGAAAAAGGGCAACGGAAAGGCGGGGAGGGTGACGGGGGGGGGCCCTCGACCGTCGGTGACGCGACGGCCCCCAGGCGAGAGGGGGGGTGGCCGCGCCCAAGCGTGCTCAGCCGAGCGCGGGCCCCCTGCGGGCCCCTGGGGGCGCAGGACTTATAACCTCGAGCAGAGGTGGAGCCCTGTGGGAGGGGGCGGCGACCACCCCACGGTGAGGCTGCAGTGTTGGTGTGGCGAAGACAAGCAGGGGGAGCAATCAGCAAGCCCAGGGGGGATTGCACGGCGGGCCTCAGCGTTGATGGGGGGCGACTTGGAGCATTTGGAGCGGCACGCCTGACTAACAGGGAGCGCCCATAGGAACCTCGATGCCCAGGGAGGCGGGCAGTTCAGGAGGCCGTGGTGCTGAGCGAACCTGTGGTGGACGACGACACCGTGAGCAAGGCCGAAGCCGAAGACAGAGACGTGCCGTTGACCAGCGGCGCCTCTGGTTGCGCCCGTGCTCGAGCAGGTTGTGCAGCACGGGCCTAGCTGGTGCGAGCTGCACGAGTGTGGCGTAGAACGTGGTATTGTATGACGACACGCCGTGCGTGTAGCAATGAGCGCAGCCACCGACGTGCTGCGGTTGAACCCGCGAGCGGCCGCCAAGCGCGCCGCAAAGAGTGATGTGCCAGCGCTCGAGGCCGCGGCTTGGGGCGAGCATGGTGGCCTTCGACGCCCTCGTGGGCCGAGGGCGCTGTCAGCAACTTGGAGTTGGTCCCGCTGACCGCGCCGAGAGCGAGCTGAGGGCGCAGCCGCTGGAGCGGCCTGAACGACTTGCGACGAGCCTGGAGGGCCAGGAAGGATGCCTCCGTGAATGTCGCCCGCCCTCCCAGGGCGGCTGCTGCAGCTGCAGGGCCAGGGGTGGTTCCTGCTGCGCCAGAGGGGGGTGCCAGGGGCAGCTGCTGAAGCTGTTGCGCCAGGCGCGGAGACTGCTGCCGCTGCTCCTGCGCCAGGCATGCGCCTGGTGGCGCCAGAACCTCCCAGGGGCGCGGACAGGAGTCAAGGGCAGGGGTGCGTGCTGCTGCTGCTGCTGCTGCTGCCGTTGCTGCTCAAACTACTGCCGCAGCTTCGACAAGTGTGGACCGGCTGCAGAGGGGACAGGAAGGAAACCCGCCAAGGGGATGGGCGGATGTTGCTGCTCCTGCTGCTGCAACAATTACTGATGCGGTGAGTGGCGCCGCTGCGCTGCTGCTACTGTCCCGACCCCGGCGCCAACCCGGAGACATGCTCCAGCTCCAGCTCTGGCTCCGGCGCCCGCTCCCAGGGGCGACAGCTCCAGCTCCAACTCCAGCCCCCGCGTCGTCGTCGTCGTCGTCGTCGTCGTCGTCGTCGTCGTCGTCGTCGTCGTCGTCGTCGTCGTCCGCCTTCCCAGGGGCGGCCGAGGTCGTCGTTCGTCGTTTGTCGGTCGTGGTCGTCGGACGGCGTCGCCAGGGGCGCAGCTGACGGCTGCAAGTGCTGGTGTAAATGCAACGACGGTCGGCGGTAACAGTCGTCAGTCGGCATCGCCAGGGGCGCAGCCAGCGGCTGCGCGCCCCCCAGGGCCCCGGGGCGGCTGCTGCAGCGGCAGGGCCAGGGAAGAGGCAGAACTCGCACCCGACTGAACAGGCACCTGGCTGAACTCGCGCCCGTGCGGCCCAGACGGACGCGCACTAGCTGAACTCGCACCCGTCTGAAGTCGCACCGGCTGAATTCACACCCTTGTCCCAGGGGTGGCTTCTGCTGCACCAAAGGGGGGGTCAGGGGCAGCAGCTGAAGCTGTCGCGCCAGGTGCAGGGCTGCTGCCGCTGCTGCTGCGCCCAGTATGCACCTGGTGGTGCCCAGAACTCCCAGTGGCGCGGACAGGAAGAATGAGCAGGGGCGGTTGCTGCTGCAGCCGTTGACACGCACCAGCTGAAACCGCATCCGATTGAACGCACACCCGACAGAACTCGCACCAGCTCAACTCACACCCTT